CAAGGGACCCGAATATTATTCTCACTAATAGAGTTTTCTCATTTATAGAGGTTAATAATAATCGAACATAAAGATGGTGCTAGAGCGTTAAGAAATACGTAATACATAAGTATATACACATTTGGCGATGAATAGGTACTCATTTTATTTATTTTTAAAAATCAGTTAATTTTTTCTGAGTATCCTCTTTACAATTTTGAATATGTTTTTCAATTTCATAAATTTTGTAAAAAATGAAATCACTTTAATTTTTTGCTTCAACATTGTGAGGGAACAACGTCAAATGTACTTTCTCCAATGATTGTTATCAACTGAAACCAAATGCTGAGGATGAGTACCATGAGCAGGTAGGATCAAGCGCACAAGCTGCAGATGTCTAGTAATTGTAAACAGTCTCGTTTGCAGAGGTTTTGAGTAAGAAACTGTCACTTACAGAGGTCTAGAAGTGAAAAATGACACTCTAGAAGTGGTACTCACACTGTCACTCATAGAGGTTTTCGGGGCTAAAAATGACGGGACCTGACTATTTTTGTCGTTTATTTAGGTTGCTCACTTATCCAGTTTTCGCTTAACCAGGTTCGACTATATACCGATCTCTTATTTTGATTGTTAACAAGATGAAAAAACATAACACACTGCTGATCGATAATTATAAAATTTTAAATTTAAACTGTCCTATAATCCCCATCCTTTAATTTAAGTTTAAGTACCTATAGTTTAAAAGATCATTTCTTAGTCTAGTTATTCATCTCTCATAATTTCTCTTGATAATGGCAGGTAAGGCCGAAACAATTATCTAGTTGAATAAACACTTGTTGAAACATTTTTTCTTTATAGTGTAGCAAATAACAAGTAAATGTGTGTTTTTATTTTATATGCTTAGAACAAGATCAGACCTAAGAGTATTATCAACAATTCAATCCAATCAAGGATGCTTAAGCCCATTGAATAGTTATTTTTTAATAAACAATTTTTATTAGTGTTGTATGATTTTTATTATTTCAGTTACAAATTAGTTTACAAGGCATTGAGCCACAGCACATTTCAGAAAATGGAAATTTTCAATCTGGTAATGAAGACGATATCGATGCAGCTCTTTCAGATTTGCAAAACACATTAGAAGGTGCTAATATATCCTTTCAAAATGACATAACACAAGTGCCTGAACTGTGTGATGAACTCAGATTTTTGAAGTAAGTGTAAATACGATACAGTACTAATTAATAAGTTTACAGTATCTGTAAGAAATACTTCTATGTATTTGGTAAATTACTACGTTATTATTTTTTATGATAATTCAACACTGTTAAACTCAATCACATTCATTTCAAAGATCTAAATTGAAGTTTTCAAAATAATGACTGGTAGTAGATATAATATATTATTTTCTTATAGGCCTAAAAGGTACACCTTGAAAGCCTTTAAGAAGTATTGGTTTACTTGTAAAGATCTGCATCTATACTTGTACAAAAGTAAGGAAGAAATGATACATCATGGTGTGCCGGCTCATTCTATTAATCTGAAAGGCTGTGAAGCAACTCCTGATGTAAATATCGGTCAAAATAAATTTGGCATAAAACTGGAAGTGCCTAGTTCAGAAGGAATGTGTGAAATATACATTCGATGTGACGATGTATGCAAAACTAACTCTTTGAATTGCTATATCTCAATTAGCTTTTTTATAGGAACATCAGTATGCTAAGTGGATGGCTGCTTGCAGATTAGCATCTAAAGGAAGATCATTGGCTGATAGTTCTTATAATTCGGAAGTAAAAACCATACTTGACTTTCTACAAATGCAAAAACCAACCAACAGTCCTACAGTTGACCCAAACAGTTATAATATTCAACCAGAAGATTTTGTTGCTCCTAGGTTTCTGAGAAAGTTAAAAGGAAAGGTAATGCTTCTTTACTAAACGAAATACCCGAAGATTTTTGCTTGATTTTATAAAGATTGTCAAGTATTAGTTTTTTTAAAGGCTTTTAAGAACGTGAAATGTATTTTGTGTTCGTTTAATTTCTTGTTTTGCTATTAATGTACGTTATACATATTTATTATTTAAATTGTGACATTGATCATCAGAAAGAATGATTATTCATATTGCTTCTTAAAAATAGAAATTTATTAAAGGTATTGTGGCAAAGTAAATAATTAAACTAAGAGAACTTACCCCAAATACACAACACCCAGAAAAATTATGCAAGTGGTCGAAGCATGTGTGTGCGTTTTTTCAATATATTGTGATATTTAGGGAAGTCCTTTTGGTTGAATCATTTTGCTTCAAGTGTTAATTTAAATTCTTTTAATATTCCGCAGTTTATTCATTTTTATTTATTCTTTGAGTTTTATTTGTAATAATAAGAAAAGTTGAAAAGTTATTGTATAAGGAGAGGAATGTAGTTGTGAAAGCTTATTCTATGAAACAGAACATTTAATTTAAACAATTATAATGTGGGTATATATTTCATTTCAGCTAGTTCATAAGATATTAGAAGCTCATGCAAATGTGAAACATCTGCCTTTAATAGAAGCAAAACTAAATTATATAAAAGCTTGGCAATCATTACCGGAATATGGTGTTACACTGTTTGTTGTAAGATTTATGGGATGCAAAAAAGATGAACTCTTAGGGGTCGCTCACAATCGTCTCATGAAACTGGATATTAATAATGGAGATCACCTTAAAACTTGGAGATTTAATAATATGAAGGTATTTTAAATTTTTACCGAATTTGTGATTATTTAATAAGTAACAAAAAAGTAGGTAAATTAGTTTTCCTTTTCAGTGCATTTCCTATTTCGTTATTCATGCGCTTTTTTTCGTTTTCTAATATAACTTAATATGAAAAAGAAACAAATCCATTTGATTTTGGACAAAATTTTATAAAACGTATGAACTGTAGCATGCTCGATTTCTCCTCGTACTTTAAAAGAATTGCTTTATATCCAATGCAAATATTGTGTAAATTAGTTTGGTCCAATATGTTGTTTAATTATTTGCAAAAACTATTACTATTAGGCATATTAAGTTAGAACAGTCATTGCAGCACAGTATTTATAGCTAATTTATTATTCCAAAAACAATTTATCGCGTAATTTTTAAAAATAAATGTGTAGCTGATATGTTAGCAGGTTGACTGGATAGCCTTGCCTGTACTACTCATTGAATAAGTTATTAGTCTGACAAAACATTTCCAATTCTTAGTCTAATGACATCGCTGTTTTTTGTTGTCTGAGGTGAAGTAAAGTTGTTTTTCTCTGATTAACAATATATAAATTTCTCATAAAATAAGTAAGTGTAGGCTTTCACGGTCGGCGTTAATTATATGTGAAATGTTTTCCAGGCTGGTGAACTGTGGATTTTCTACTGACATTTCGTCCACAACTACGGTGGAGAAAATCTAAATAGATCACGGCCATCAGCCCAGAAAACTTTTCGCATAGAAATAAATAATAAATTTTAACAATAGCTATAAGAAAACAGTTGACGTGGCCATATTTGGTTGAATTTCGCTCCAAAATTAAATCTGAATTCGGAAGGTTTCGAGCATAAATAAAGTGAAAAGTGAGTAAATAAAGAAATTAGTGCTAGGTGTGTTTAGTGTACGTGAGGAAAAAAAATGAGAAAACAATAATAGAAGTGAAATTCAATACGCGAGCGTTAACCTGTGAGCGGCATATATTCTCCTAGAGGTCGACTAGAAATAGACCGTCTGAGCCGGCTAAGGTAGGAAAAACAACAAAAATGCCATATACACTTGACAGTGCTTCAGAACTTTCGGACGACGAAGCAAACAAGAGGAAAAGAACGGGCATGGAGATATCCAGGATATATTTGCTAATAATATAGTGATAACAAGGAACAAAATTAAGGAACTAATTAAAACAAGAGCGAGGTCGAGACGAAATTAGCGCTAATGAAGTTTATGAAGGAGATATTCAAAATCGACAAAATAGTAAAATCAACAAAAACAATTAACGACAATATATGGATGATATAAGTAGAAAACTTAGAAGAAAATTGAAATCCTGCAGACAAAAAGAAAAATTTCATTTTTAAAAGAAAATAAAATGTACATAGACAGCGACCTCATAGAACAACAAAGAAAAATTCAAAGGGCGATAGGGTTGAAAGCGAAATTAGAAAAAGAAAAGGGAAACCAGGCTACAGTTGGGTACCAAAAATTATTTATTAATGAAACGAATGTAAGGAAGGACGTACACAGACAAAACACTGACAAGGCAAAGGACTACGGACGGAACGATGACGGACAGGATTGAAAATGACTCAAGAAATAGAGATTCAGAATATAATATTTAGAGCCGTGATTCCTAACCTGGGGGTTATTACCCCCGCGGGCGTAAAACATGTATTTCGGAGAGGTGACAATGAGCCGGTTGTCTCGAATGCCGAATTTCAAAATAACAAGTCTGAGCGCCGACTAGCGCGCAAAGTGTACCTACGCTATCGCTACAGGGAAATATGACCATTATTTTAATATTGCAAAACAAAGTAGCAAGCTTTATTCGCAAATTGGAACTATACAAACGTAGAGTTCACATTGGCGATATGACCATGTTTTCACAAGTTTGTGAGCAACTGGAAAACGATAAAGCTGACAAGATTAAATTTGAAGATTCCGTGGTACAGCATTTGTCATCAGTAATAAAAGCTCACTGCAAAAATATTTCCCGGACATGGATAAGTTTTAGAAATTAGCCGACTTACTCCTAGCTTATAACTGTAATTTAGAGTAAAAATATCTAAATTTTTTATGTGCAATCGTTTTTATGTTTAATAAAGCCTACGTATTTGTATTAACACGTATTGTTTGACTTCAACGTTGGAAGGAGGGGTAAAATCAGTGACCCTAGTTAGGTCATAAGGGTAACAGACCTAAAAAGGTTAAGAACCACTGATTTAGAGGCTGGGAGTATAGAAACAACGGTGACAAGCAAGAAGAACTATGTGAAGAATTTGTAAACGAGACGAAGAGAAAAGGGCAAGAGGAAGTAGCATTAAAACGTGGCAATATGTTAATATATTTGGAGTAGAGCAAGATCAGACGTAGAATGCTTAATAAATGAAAAGTGGATAAAAAAAGTAAAAAGGAAGGTATTCGTTAACGATAGAATCCTTTCAGTAGAATTTGAAGATAATAAGAACAGCATTACTCTAATAGTAGCCTACGGTCCGAACGAGGATAATAAAGGCAAATTCTGGGATCAGTTAGTAGTTGCAGTATAAAGTAATAAAGTAAAAATAATAGTAGCAGGGGACTTAAATACTAGGGTTGTAAAAGCTGACAAATGGTCGAGTGAAATAGTACGAAAATATGGAGAGGAAGCAGGAAGTAATAACGATAATAGGCTAATTTATTTCTGCAGGAAAAATTCAATGTTTGTTGCAAATTCCTTTTACCAGCATAAAGATATACGCAAGTTTACAACGTAGGTAAAAAGCGAAACGAGAGATCAATTGCTGATTATATTCTAGTGGAACAAAATCAGAACGATGGTAAAAGATATGAAAGTTAAAAGAGGCGCCGAAATTGATAGCGATCACTGTATCTTGGTGGGGAAAATTATAGAACAGACAAGATAACAGACACCGCCCCTCCAAAATATGACTCAATCAGAGTATATAAATTAAACAACAACGATATTGCATTGAAATACAAAGAAGAAACAAAGATATCTAAAATATGGCATAGAAGATCTATGGAATGCATTCAAGAACATCCCAATTCAAGCAGCAAAAAAGGTCTGTGACGTTTCAAAAATAGGCAAAAGTAAGAAACAACCAGCGTTGTAGTCAGATGAAATAATAAACCAAGTAAAAAGATGAAATGGAAGAAGTATCTCCAAGAAAATACAGAAAATGCATACGAAGACTACAAGAACCAACAAAAAAAGTCAAGGACTTAGTAAAAGAAAAGAAAGCAAAGCAAAGATCATGGGACGAATGTAATAGAAAAATAGAAAGCACTAAAAACGATAATCAGAAGCTCTTCTACAACATACTAAAATCATTCCGCAAGGATTATAAAAGAATGGGAATAGAGATTAAGGACAGAGAGGGTAATCTGTTAACAACTGACACCGACATACGACAAAGGTGGATGGAATACTTTAAGCAGTTACTATGTGTAAATAAGCGGGAAGAGCACCTTCGACGAGAACGAGTATATACAAAAGGAGAACAAGAAGTGAATGATATAGACGAAATTGAGGAAGCTATACATAAAATTAAAAAGGTAAGAGCGACATGGTATGATTTCATTAGGTGTGAAGTGAAAAAGGCACTGGGAAAGACGGGAACCTTATTTATTAGAAATTTATACTCTAAAATATGGAAAGTTAAAAAGAATACCAAAAGACTGGGTGATTGGCATAGTTATACCTTGAATTAAGAAAAGGAATAATAAGGACTGCAAAAATTATAGGGGAATAACAAGTATTGAGCGTTGTGGTTAAGGTTTACGAAAGAAAAATTAGGAGAAAATTAATAGAAGTTATAAAAAGCATGTATAAGGTATGTAGAAATATCGTTAGAACAGGACATACTATCATCGATGAATTCATGAGTTATCAGTATTTGTCAAGAGTGAACGAATTACATCAGCTGCTACAGTATTCGGTGCCCTCAACAGAAATTTTAATAGGGTAAAAGAAATGTCGAAGAAGGAGTAACAAGACTAGACAGAATAAGAAACATTGACATCCGGCAAAAACTAGGAATTTGTTGAATACAAAACATAAAGCAAAAGCAGATATGGTGGTTCGGACATGTGAGCAGAATGAATAGAGGGAGTCAAGTAAAGAAAGTATGGGAAACTAGGATAATAAAGAGGAAAAAGAGAGGTAGACTAAGGAACACATGTACATACGAAGTTAGAAAGATATGACGTTAGACCGGGGGGACGAGCTGGCGCAAGATAAGAAGAAATGGGGAAGTCTAATCAATAGCATTATTTAATATCCATAGAACCAAATATCATCACCAGAATTAATGTTTAACGTTTTCAGCAGACCATTGTCCTACACCTATTGGTAGAAAGGCTTTACGATGTATATATAAGAAAATAGACAAGAATTCTCATAAAAAATAATAACAAGTTAAATCCTTAAAAATTACTTCATAAGGGTTTCAAATAGACCACAAATCGAAACAATATCCCAGTGTGTTCTAATATGTATGATGATGAATCCCCGAATGAAAAAATCATTTGGGTATAAATCTAGAGTGTGCAATTTAATCGAACCTGGCCAGCTACTAATGTGAATAATTAAATGGAGAGTTACTTCTAAATAGTTACAAGTTGTACGAACCGTTATTGCATTATGAGCGATACAACCATCTTCTTGATACCAAATTTCATTAAAATTGATATCAAGCCTTTGAAGTGCAGGAATAATTTGCTGTCTCAAAACGATAATGTATTTGTCTGAATTTAAATATCCACGAATAAGGATGGGCCTGTATACTAGGTGACTGAAATAAGTAACAAATTTTGGAAAGTGTTAACTAGATGTAATAAAAATTCGCAATACATTGCCAATATAATATTTAGTATATTTTTGACATATTTTCCTATTTAATATTGTCAGAAGCTTTATCTAAATCTACGAACCCGTTGCACCTATACGCTCTTTCTTTTTGGATTGTTTGCTAAATTAAAAGTCACTTTCAAAAATTAATTGCAAAAGCGTTATTCAGAAATCAGTAATAAAAAATAATTTACTTTAAAAGTTCACATGAAAAATAAGTTTTGAAAATTAATTGCAATATTGAGTAAAAAAATTACTCAAAAATTTATTGAACAATCGAGTTTTAAATTTATTATTGGTGTGATTTCTACACAACAATTGATGTGCCAACCCTATGAATCCTTTCCACGTTACCCTCCTGCGTCCACAACATCTAGCGCGCAATTTAAAAAAGCTCATTTATTTTTAATTCATTCTCGTAATTTTTGTGGGAAGTACATAATCATCGGTGAAAATGATTAAGTGCACATATGTTTGTTAAGCTTACGAACTTTTTCATGTTCTTCAGTTTTATATATCTATTTTTCTATCTTTCTTACGTATTATTAATTAAGCTTAGTTTTAAAATCCACTTTAATTTGAACCACGGTTGTGTACGGGCATTAAATTGGCTTCTAGCAATGAACTTGTCTACTCAATTTTGCCTGTTATTTATTACATTGTTTATTTTAGGCGTGGAATGTAAATTGGGAAGTAAAACATATGATGGTTCAATTTGAAGAAGAAAATATCATATTCAGTTGTTTATCAGCGGATTGCAAGGTTGTTCATGAATTCATTGGTGGATACATATTTCTATCAATGAGATCAAAAGAAGCAAATCAAGCGCTGAACGAGGAACTTTTCCATAAACTCACCGGAGGGTGGGTGTAATTGACTAAAACTTGAAAAGTTGTATGGCAAAATACGTGCCTCTTGAAAATCAAATTAAAATCGAAAAATGTGGGCAATCCTGACAGATTGTTTTTGGCATGTGAACTATATCGCCTTTATAGTTCGTTTAATAAAAGATACTCTGTTTATTTTACTAACTTCAAGATAAAAGTACAATAAGATAATTGAATTATTTATTTAAATAACACAAGATGAATGATATTTTTAATAACAAATAAACAATTATAGAATGTGCTTTGTAAAATTTACTTTGTTATTTACAGAATTTACATAGCGCTAAATTATATTTATTTGATTCTGTAACTAATTGTGTGTAAGGGGGGCATTCATTAATGACGTGAGCTTAAAATGATGGGTCTAGCAAAAACTTATCAAATCTCATTTAAAGGAGGCGGAGATCATTGAAAATCTCAGGTCAACATTTTAATTCAAAGATCATTATATACAGATAGTAAAAAACGTTTATTAAATTCATGTTCCCTTTTTTGCACGGATAAATTTAACGTGAGGGGTAGAAAATAAAAACACCTCACTTGATTAATGAACGTCTCCTAATATCACGTAAAACATAATTTGTTTTTAATACTAATATCTGTCCTAAATGTAATTTTTTTATAATACATTAACTAAATAGTATTGTAATTTAAATTGTGACATGTTTACCTACACAAATATATTTTCTAATAATATAGAAGTTATAATCTATCTAATTTTGGTTTCTATTTCTTGTTAAAGGCTATAGTATTGCATATGATGCGCCGAAAACATGTTAGTGCCTGTTTCATGTAATCTGCACAATGTTGCCTTATAAGCAGGCGATTTTGTGTATAAGTATAATAAGCAATTAATCGAATATTGGAACCCCAACCCAACCCAAACTCTATGTAACTTAAACAGGTAAGAGCGGGTTAGGGTTGGATGAGGTTCTTCATCATTATAAGGTCTTCAGTCCTAAGACTGGTTGGACACGTA